ATGTTCATGATACACTTTTATTTAATCTAAAATATACATTTTAGTTGTTGCAAACTTATACTAGAGGATTTGGAACCTTTTGAGTGAACTTCACAAGTGGTTGCTTCTTCCTGTTTAATGATTATGACACATTTACAAATCATGTCATGACTTGACAACCATGAATTCAACACCAAATAAGTTTACTTGAAGGTTATAAAAGGTAAGATATATGCATTACGGCACAGTTCACACCGAAAATTTTTCATATCTCACTACTAACCTTTGGAAGTCAATAGTTACCAACATTTTCTAAATAACTCATTTTGTGTTCCAGAGAAGAAAGACGCTGACAGGTTTGTGTCAAATGAAGGTTGTTGATTTGGTATAGTTATTGCCATTATTTTTATTTTTATGTTATATAGAAATAATTACAGTATAATGCTATTTTCTAAAAACATAGCTAAATCAATGATACAGAAATATATATTTTATCAATTCAAACCGTATGGTTACTCCAACAACTAGACTCATTCTCTTAAAAATGGAGAGCTTGTTTGGGCATAGTTAGTATGAAGGAGAGCGCCCTCTCACGGTTGAAAGAGGACTCCACGAATGCGGATTTAAAGCTAGATTAAAAATACGAGATGTAAAAGGACTTGAGGAAGGGTAAAATGAAGAAAATCTGATCTTCCTGTCTGTGTGTGGTTGTGTGCCCTTTAGGTTAAATGAAATAATATATTTTGAGAGCGTGTTGGGACATTGTGTTGCCCATTCAGCTTCATCACAGGAAGTTTTTCGCCCCATTACCATCTTAATAACAGCTAGAAGTTACACAACTTACCCTATCCAGCTCGACGAACACAGCTCCTTATCTGTCCCTACGTGTTTTTTTTATTTTTATTATTTTTACCTCAGTATTATTTGTTATCTTGTTTTTCTCTGTAGTCCGTTCATCTGGAGTGTGTTAACAGTCGGTTTGGCTGAAGAACTCGACCATGTAAGATTCACTCATACAACAAAAACTGCGGTCTTCCACTGTAAAGGTTATTCTGGTGATATTATGTTGTCTAAAGGGGACAAAACAAGTTGCTAAAGTGGATCTTGCTAGTTTGGTTAAAACTTAAGGTTGACTGAGAGAAATTGGCCGTCTAAGATGAGGTAAAATTCTTGAGCCAAAGGTCAAACGATGTACACAGTGAAAATAATATGCAAGATTGTAATAATTGTGTAGAATGTCATAATTTGTAATGTAATTATGGCTAACAGTTGGTTACTTCACTCAAAAATTAAAATTTTGTTATCATTTAACCCAAATCTGTTGTAGTTTCATTTTTCTTTTGACCTGAAAAAAGATAAACCCTACTGAAGAATGTAAAAAAACTTAGTTTTTTCCTCCTGGCTGTTTTCTGCCTAACATTAGATTGTTTTGAACAGAAGATAGACATTTATAAAAGTTTTTTCTTGGATATTGTAATAGAATAGAACAACAATAATGTATAACCTTACAACCAGTTGAACTAGTCAAAATCAAAATAAAAAACAATAATATTAAGCTCAGTAGAATTTTATTAACTTTTTTTATGTGATATTTTTCAGAGTTTTTAGAACCAGTGAATATCAGAATCAGACAAATACAAATTCTATAAATCTTTTTTTATTATTATTATATTCATTTATACTTAAAAATGAAATCAAATCTATAGGGGAAAGCGGGGACGAAAGTAGGCCTACCATTTTTCATAAACCTCATATTTAAAAGATGTTTTTAGCAGAAATATATTTTTGCTGTGGTTACTAACTAATAAGTGTGGTCTTTCAAAAGCAGGTTTTATTTTATATCAGTGTAAAACAACTTCAATATAACTTCACTTTAAACAAAAGTTGCTCATTGTTACTTTTGATTTACTTTTAAACTTAAAGATATCAAACTCAAGGATTTGTTATTGCTCAAAATAAAATAACCTGTAGATCAATTATAAGTGGGACACATGAAAAGAGAAATGAGAAAAGAGAAACTTGTAATAAGGAAAAAATGAACACTACAACAATTTACTTTTTGCACTTAAAAACTGAAATATGGAGCTGATATTTGGCAGCTCCATCAAGGGTTGCATGCTGAATGTGCTGTTATAGCACATGGAAATCAAATGTAATCAGGGCTTCGAGAAAATCACTTTATTACTTTTGTCCCACGTTACTTTCGTCCCCACTCTTCCCTATATTTTTATTGACATTTTACAAAAACAAATTATAGTCTATTATTAGGCTCACACGGAATCTGCGCGCACAGAATTCCACAGATTTTTAGCCCATCATTAATTCTGTTTATTTACTTGAGTAAATGTGTGTAAATCTATATTTATTCAGTTTTTAATTAATTACAGTAATATTATTGACTAATGTGAAAATGTTCATCTGATATATGTACAATACAGTTTGTAAAGTATTCTTTTCTGTCTTTTAGTTGATATATTATGTAAGAGACTTGCTTTGTTTACCAAATAAAGTGAATCTGACTGAATTTGCATTTTAAACATTAAATAAAAGGTAAAAGATATTTTTTTATTTCACATATTAAAGTTTTTGTTATGATACTCCCAAAATAATTCAGCAGAAATCCGCAGATTTTTACAAAAATTCTCTGCAGAAATAGCAAAATATGTCAGCAGATTCCGTCTGACTCTTGCCATTATTGATTAAAATAACCTAAATAGGAAAAGTGAAAAGGAAAAGTCCAACCCAGGCTCATTCTAAAAATGTATTGCTATATACATTTCTGGAGAGCGGCTAATACATCCCAGGAGCTACATTTTATTATTATTTTTTTGCAGTTTTTGTTTTGGCAAATCCACCAGTGTCTGCTCTCTCTCACGAGTGCCATTCTCGCCTGCTGTTCTCGTGTGATTTCACCAGAGGCCCCTGTCGACTGACTGACTAACTGAAACCAAACCAATAGTGTTTTCAAAAGCACTGATTGACCCGCCCACCCACTTCCCTAAACCCAACCGACAGTTTTAAAAGAAATCCAGAAAAATTAATCGCCTGATTTTTATAACACTTTCAGATTATTTGGTATTTACTTGTTTATGTTTTGGCTTCTGTTTTTGTCTTACCTGCTTTCTTGAAACATTCTTCACTGGAATTGAATTCCGTCGTCGAATCCCTCTGCGTCTCAAGTCCGCCGACATACATGGCGAGCTAACTGGTAACAGCGGGAAAGCCGTCCATATGGAATTAAAAAGGAAAAGGTATGGCATCATACCGCCCCGTAGCATTAGTTTTAAAGACAAAATGCAGCCATACGTACTTCTGGATACATAATTCACGATCAAATAAATGTATAGCGTTACGTTTTCAGAATGAGCTATGCTTCAACATATGTTACTCATTTTTGCTAAGGTAACTTTTGGATTACATTCAGATTACTTTTTTATCTTACCTGTTTTATTTAAAGAGATCACATTCATATAAAAATACAAACAAAATCTACTGTGAATCTGATTACGTAAAACAAATGACATGTAATTAAATACTAACCAGTACTATCTAACATGCTTTCATGGTTTTAAAGAGGTGGTCCACTACCATATCGTATTTTAAACTAGTTGATGTGTAATGTAACTGTGTGAACATAAACAACATCTCTGAATTTAAGAGGCTCAAAGTTCAATGCAAAGGGATACATTGGCTTTTACAGAGTTAGCTTAGCGAAGCCTACAGCGAATGAATTTTGGGGGCTACAAAAAATACATCCGGGTTAATGATGTCATAAGCCCTTCAAGTTACACACATACGCCCAGCGCAGAGAAGGGTCATGGCCAGAGGTGCTGTAATGTTATAACAGAGACGCTTCCTGGTGATGTAGAGCTCATCTGCGAATCACAGCACGTTATGTTAGCTGACCAATCACAGCCTCTTGAGGGCAAACCTTTCAGAGGAATTAGGAAATATGACAGTCGTTTTCAAGTTAGCTGAGTCGCTGTATATAATCAAAGTCAGATATATGAAAAAATAATGTGATTTTCTGCAAATGAAGCAAGAGCACACATTGCTTTGCACCCCATAAGTGTGGTTTATTTATAAACTAATTTCGAGAGGATCACATGCTTATGATCAACACGTCTGGCACCTCATTAGCTCTGTAATCTGCTCTATTAGATGATTACGAAAGCATCATAAATAACCAGAGTTTTTCACTCCAGTTATTTTCGTCTTGAATTCAGTATCGTGACGAGTCTAATATAATGAAGAATCAGTTCATTAACTCGAGTTTGATAAATGGCATCTAAAATTTGTGTTTGGGAAAGAAAATGTTAGCTAACTAGTGCTATTTCCCTTAACTTAGCTGAAAATGAGCTCTGATATCCCTTTTTATTTTCACCATTCATTCAAAACGGACCTTCGGGTCACCCGGAAGGCGGTAAAATTATAAATTTGTGTCACTTTCTCTTTGCTGATGAGATGTATAAGATATACACCACATTCCTATGTAACTCCCAATGACACTTTCGGGTTTCTTCCCACCGCAGCCTCGATTTCCCTTTTGAAAATGGCGGCTACGTGAAATCAGTCTATTGCCTCACAGCAAGAACACCGCTGGTCCATCCTCCTATCGGGCCGGTTGGCGTTTCTGTGCGGAGTTTCTATGTTCTCCCCATTTTCGTGTGGGTTTCCCCCGGGTTCCCCGGTTTCCTCCCACCGTCCAAAAACATGTACCATAGCCAATCGACTAAACCAAATTATCACACAAGATAACCTTAGTTTACACTTCTCACGTGGAGAAAAGCAGGGGACCTACCTAAGCTCGAACTCCCCTCTCGCCCTTCTAACGGGAGGAAGCCCCGGGCTCGAGGGTATAACGAGCTCAGGGCTCTCTCCTGGGCCAGCATACCAATTATGCTTTATTGATTAGCGGCTAAGTGTGAACTCTTGAAACACAACAAAGCCTTAAACATACACTCTGAACCACCTCTTTAAACGAAAACACTAACCCAATTAATCCAAACCACAAACAAGCATTTACCGGTGCCATTTTTACAATATTTATTCAGAGGTGAAGACACAGCTTTATTGTATACGACTTGATGAATACATACACAGATTTAACAGTATTGCATATTATGCTGAAATGTGTGGATACACTCAGGCACATCCATTTATGACATCAGCGCTGAGTGGCATTGAGTGTCTATTATCTGAACGTGTAGTATTGCTGTACATCCTTACTTACAACATTGACTGACAAGCAGCAAGCCTCAATCTCTGCATTGTACACAGTAATTACACATTATGCCAATTTGTAAAGTTACTGAAACGATTCGTTAGGAACTTATAAACACATTTCTGTCTAAAAAGACCTCTGAACATGTTTTAACGCAGTGGCCAATAGAGTACGGGTGAAATATGAGAATATGTTGTACAAAAACAGGTTATTTTAGATGAGACTCTCTTCAGGTGTTTTTTTTTTCATTTATGAATCCATACAAGTAATTAGTTTTTCACAATAGAGCTTTGAAATATTAGTAGACATATTTTTCCCAAAGGTATTTTCATATCACATAACACCTCTCTCACACTCTCAATCTCTTCTGTGCAATATATACAAAAATCTGATGTCATATAAAATTAATAACAAGTGCATTTAACTTAAATGTATTCAAGTGTGCTGGAAAGCAGACATATCTGATCCTCTGTTGCTGATTATTACCATCTCAAAATATAGGAGGACGTTTCATGATGATAAATCGGCTTGGATTTGGATCGTCATGATCTACCGTAAAACTCTCTCTTTAGTTCTAAATGTAAAAACACAAATCCTTTGAACCTGTATCTGATGTTCTATTGGAAATCTGTTACATGAAGCTGATTCTGAACAAACGACATACAAGCGTCACTGTCATGCAACATTATAGCTATGTTTCCATCCATCCATTAGACTTAGCAAAACTGGAACATTTAATAAAATATTTGCGAATAAAGCACAGTTTCAACAAAATTACCAAATATCAAAAATAAAAATGGAATTTGCTGCAGGAGATGAAGCCACTGTGAGCTTTTTTTCTTAAATACTGTCACACAACCAGCGATCGCTCTCCAGAGATCGCTGGTTCTCACACGAACTCTCAGGACTACACTTCCGCATTCCCCAGGACTACACATTCATACATGCACTTCTCCCAGACACGCACGCCTGCTCATTCATCTAACTTGATTGCACTCACCAGCTGAACCCTGTCAGAGACTGATAACACCCCATACATAAACCACTCATTCACTCACCCTGGTTGCCGAGTCTTGTTAGCTGTTTCAGTTGCATTACAAAGCGGTTATCCCTGTCTTGTTTCTCCGTGTTAGACCCTAGCCTTGTTTACCTTTGTTCTCCTGTTTAGCCGCCTGCCTTTTGACCTGTTGCCTGTTTATACCGACTACGATTCTGGACTGCCTTAACATACACGTTTGCACCTGTATGACCACTGCTTGCCTGACGCTGTATAAACCTGCATATTGGATCTTACCTCCTGTTGTGTCTGTCACTCCACCCCATCGTTACATATACTAGATTTCTTTCGCCTCAGATAATAAAGACAAACTGCTAATGAATGTGTGGTGGCTTTTGAAACACAGACGCTTTTTAGACAATTCTAGAATGACCAAAACAACATTTCAGACATTGTGCAATGTTGTCAGCCTGCTGTTTTGTTCATTAACGCTGTCCCATCACACCCATTTTTGTCAACACATGATAAAACTAAATCTTCAAACCGAATCACACTTTGATGCGCATCCTGAAATTTAATTCAGTAAATGCGTTCCCACAGCATTTTAAACCCATTTTTTTATTGGATGAAAGGTTTATTTTAATCAGTTGTGAGCATTAGTTTAATTCAAATATTTATGAGTATCTTGTCATCTTCCATATTTTTGAGCGATATTATTAAATACGCTTTAAAGTACACATGAAATCCTAACTAACCATATTGATTTTGTTAGCTTTAGTTTTGTGGTGAATGATTCATCTAATGTCATTAAGAAAAAAATCATTTGCCCTTTGTTTCCAGTTAAATTCTCAGATTAGGTCTGTCGGAGGGATTGGGCGTGGCTAACATACTTAACCACGCCCATCCAACTGTAATTTTTGACAGAGCTAAAGCAACAAACTTTGCGCTCCTGCACGTGTGGTCAGTTTCACAGTAAGTTGGATGTACAAAGAGAATATGCGTGAGATTTCGTGTATGCAGTGTTTCATACATCTGAATTTTTTACTGCGTACACATAAAGCTGTGAATGTGCGTGTACGTTTTAGTATGAATTCAACGCAAGTCTTCGTACATGAGGCCCCTGATGTTTTTAAAAATGTTTTTTGTAACCAACAGTAGTTGCCACTTTTGCTTTAACCATTCTTTGAACAGATTGTTACTGGCCTAACCATATGCACGTGATCATTTGTTCATTATCACATACGGTAGGCCTATATTTTTCACCTGCTTTCTTTTGCTTAGTTATGTTTAATATGGATTAATTAAATTTTTTTTACAATAACATTGCTTTAATAGGAGATTAACTCCCCATTTATGTGTAGTTAACTGGTGATCTAAGAGACCTAGTCGTTATTTTAGATACATGGTAATAATGATATTTTAATTATCAATAGTTTCTTTTTTTTTTTTAATTTGTTGAATAAAAAGTGCATCTATACAGCTATATTTTGCTTGTTTTGACACATTATTTAAAAATTGTGGCTAAGAAAAAATTATTTATTTTTGGTGTGGTCAGAAAAAATTGTGATAAAATTTGAGAAAATGAATCTTTAGTGTTGAGCCCTGAATAGTCATGTGAAATAAAACTATTTGCAATGCGACACTATAAAAGCTTAACCCAATTGCTTATGCTCATTAAGCAAGCTCATACACAACACAAACAAAGCATGTGGGAGGGGGCATGTGGACATAACATAAAATCTAAATCAAGTCTCATTTACAAATGTCAAGTCAAATGTTATGCAAGTAAAATATATCTCCCTACAACAAAATCGTGGCTAGTGTAAAGGGCAAGTGGCTAGTAATATTAAAAGTTAATGTTAAGCGCTGAAAGTAACCAACTATTATCTATAATTGAAGCTAACAGATGCAAAACTTGATGACAAATCTGTTAAAATGCCTGAAAATTGAGTCCAGGGTTTTATGACCTTTAAAATAGATGGATGGAAGCATAGCTATTGTCCCGTTTACTCATGCTGGTGTGTTTTTAGTTGTCACAAGCACACCAACTATTAACAGAGGAGAGTCTTTCACCAGCATTTGGCCAGTGGAGCGAGAGGCGTCTTCGTTCGTCTGCTGGGGCTGAAGATATCCCTCGCTTCCGACTCCAACCTCACGCCCGGCACCTTAAAGATGGACACAGCTGGCGGAGAAAGAGAGCGGGTCAGAGAAACGACAGCACATACAAAGAGACAGCAGGAAACCGACGTTTCTAAGATTGCATAATCTCTTTTCATCTCGAGTCGGTGTTGAAAAAGGTTGCCAGCTTTGACAGTAACTAGGAGGGATTTGGCTTTGATCTGGTCTGTAACGGGACCGGATTAACCTTTGAAGCTGGAATGGCGTGCATTCCGCTCATATAGTGAAATTCTCCGGCACTTACTGTCCCTTAGATGCATTAACGGAGGTGGAAGAGTGTTGAAATATGGGTGCAGCAATGCATCCTGGGCTGAAATCCTGTCCTTTGGATTCATCATCAGCATCTGCTGGGCCAGATCCTCCGTCTTATAAGGTAACTGAGAGAGCCTGAGCCAGTGTACACACACACAGAGAAACAGAGCGAGAGAGCTATGGGTCAGACATCCATTAGTGTGGGGGTGGCTGAAGACTTCTATACAAAAACCCTTCTGTTCCCCCTTGGAGCCAAGACACACACACATACGAGCACGAGCATGCACGCATGAACTGGTCTTACCTTTTCCAGACATCTCGGAATTGCTGGGGCTTGCAGGGCAGGAACCACTCTAGAGGAACACAAAGACACCTTTTTTAAAGCTTAACAGACCACCAAAACATCCAGCTCTGATCAAGTGTCTTCTCTCAGCACGTTAAGACAATCTTCATTGCTTACACTTCTTTGCGTTGTTCCAAACCTGCATGACTTCCAAAAAGAGATGTTTGGCAGAATGTTCAGGCTGCTCTTTTTCATGCAGTGAAAGGGAGTGGTGACTGGGGCTACAGCAAGCTCCAACAGTTATCATTATTAAAGGAGTAGTTCACTTCCAGAATGGTTGGTCAAAATTTCCCCTCTATAGACCCTTTTCACAAGACTGTTATGATGCATTTAATGGTCATCAGCAACTCAAGTCCTTGAAATCTTTTAATATTCAGTTTTTTGTTTTTTTTTTACAAAATATATGAACATTATATGCATTTATGGATGTATTACTGTGCATCCGGAAAGTATTTATAGCACTTTACTTTTTTCCCCATTTTCTTATGTTACAGCTTTATGGATAAAATTTATTTATTTTCTTAAAATTCTGCACACAATACCCCATAATGACAATGTGAAAAAAGATTTCTTGAAATTGTTGCTAATTAAAAAAAAAATAAAAAACCTGAAAAATCTGCCATTGCTCAATACTATGTTGATGCACCTTTGGCAGTAATTACAGCCTCACGTCTTTTTGAATATGATGCCTCAAGTTTGGTACACCTGTATTTGGGAATTGTTGGCCAATCCTCTTTGCAGTACCTCTCAAGCTCTATCAGGTTGGATGGGAAGCGACAGTGTACAGCCATTTACAGATCTCTCCAGAGATATTCAATAGAATTTAGGTCTGGGCTCTGGCTGAGCCACACAAGGACATTTACTGAGTTGTTGTGAAGCCACTCCATTAATATTTTGGTGGTGTGCTTTGGGTCATTGTCCTGCTGAAAGATGAACAGTCGCCCCAGTCTGAGGTCAAGAGCACTCTGAAGCAGGTTTTCATTCAGGATGTGTCTGTACATTGCTGCATTAATCTTTTCCTCTAACCTGACTAGTCTTCCAGTTCCTGCTGCTAAAAAACATCCCCACAGCATGATGCTGCCACCACCATTCTTCACTGTAGGGATGGTATTAGCCTGGTGATGAGTGGTGCCTGGTTTTCTTCAAACATAACACCTTTACTCCAAAGAAGTTAATTTTAGTCTCATCAGACCAGAGAATTTTATTTCTTATGGCCTGAGAGTCCTTCAGATGCCTTTTGGCAAATTCCAGGCAGGGAGTGGTTCCGTCTGGCCACTCTACCATACAGGCCTGATTGGTGGATGGTTGCACAGATGGTTGTCCTTCTGTAAGGTTCTCCTCTCTCCAGAGAAGAACACTGGAGCTCAGACAGAGTGACCATTAGGTTATTGATCACCTCCCTGACTAAGGCCCTTTTTTCGCGATCACTCAGCTTAAATGGCCGGCCATCACTAGGAAGAGTCCTGGTGGTTCCAAACATCTTCCACTTTTGGATGATGGACAACACTGAGCTCATTGGAACTTTCAGAGCAGCAGAAATTTGTTTGTAACGATCCCCAGCCTTTAATTTGGACTTTAACTCTATGTATTGCTAATGAAACTTTAAAAAGTAACTTTTTAAAATAAATTATACATAATAGCACAAAAAATAACACTGCTTTTATCTCCCACAGAAAAAAAAATTATCATGGGCTTGGAAAAATTAGGAAAACCATTTTTAGGGTGAACTACTGCATTATTAATGTCTATTTAACATCCAAAGAAACGTGCAAACCACTTAAGGACCTTATAAAAGTAAAAATGGTTCTTGCTATAAAGAGCTGCTTCTCTGAGTGTCCTTCTGTCAGTGTCTGTGGTCTCAGGCCACCCGGTCATTCCTGGCTGAAACCTGAGACCACACTTAGGCTTCAGCACACCTGCATATACCTGAGAGACCACAGCCGGTTCAGCCAGCTTCTCTACAGCACACTGTATATACACATACATCCAGAGTCTGCCGGCTTCAGTAAACCCACACTCATACGGTAGAAAAAAAAAAAAAAACTCTGGCTAATATATATGCGAAATACTATAACTGTGAGGCTGAATAAAATATTTGGAACTCAAACGTATTTTAAAATGTATTTCAGAATCACGAAAATACCTTACAGTGGAATGTGAATAGATATTTAAATTCAATCATTCATTTTCCTTCGGCTGAAGGCTGGATTAAACTTCTGCATCAAGTGATCGGCATGACCCACGGCGCCTGCCTTGCACCAAAGGCCCTTTAAGGCAAATAATTTCACTCAGCGGCCATCTTTGAAACACCTCTTGGGCAGTATGCTCAGGCATTCTGTCTGAATGGGGAAACATCAAATTCTCCAAAACTGCTTGCCAAGCTTACCATTAAATTTCATACCAGTAATCACCAATAAAAGTGAACAAAAATTGTCTATTTAGTTTCACTTCTAAACATCCAAATCACACAAAATCTGCATAAACTCACTTCTCCGAGCCCCTCCCCTGAAGTATCGTCAGTTCATAGCGATCGATAATTGGCTCCTGTACTAGAAGGTGTGATTTATTCACCATATCGCGATCAATGATTGGCTCCTGTACTAGAAGGTGTGATTTATTCACCATATCGCGATCAATGATTGGCTCCTGTACTAGAAGGTGTGATTTATTTGCCATATCGCGATCAATGATTGGCTCCTGTACTAGAAGGTGTGATTTATTTGCCATATCGCGATCAATGATTGGCTCCTGTACTAGTAGGTGGGGCTGTATTTACCATATTGACTGTTATAGTATAATTGCACGGCATCACACACATCACTCGACGCAGAAGTATAAATCAGCCTTTATGCAGCAGATGCCCTTCCAGCCACAACCCAGTCCTGGCAAACACCCATACACTCTCACATTCACACTCATACACTACAGCCAATTTAGCTTATTCAATTCACTTATAGTGCATGTCTTTGGACTGCGGGGGAAACTCCACACAGAAAAGCCAACTGGCCCAGCCGGGACTTGAACCAGTGACCTTCTTGCCGTAAGGTGACAGTGCTAACCACTAAGCCACCAAAACTGCATATTATATATTCATTCATACATTTTTTCTTTTCGGCTTAGTCCCTTCAGTAAGCAGGGGTCGCCACAGCAGCATGAACCAACAACTTTATATATATATATATATATATATATATATATAAAAACATACATACAAACACACATTATATACGATAATTTTATATAAACATTTTAGATTACATTACACACACACACAAAACAGACACCCCCTATGGCTTGCCAGCGGTTTCCCTACCACACATACACACACACACAGCATCTCCATCTGTGGCCACACACTCCAAATGAGGCAAACTTCCCAAAGCCGCCTCACATTGCTCATTTGTGCACCTGTGTAATGAGTTTACACTGTATTTCCAGAGCTGCAATGGAAAGACACAAACCCCCGTCCTCCAGGAGTGTGTGAAGGTGTGTGTTTGTGTCTGACTTAAAGGTGTCAAGTCATCTCGTGGCCAACACAACCGCGAACAGAACACCTAAACACACACGGAATGATTTAGACTGGAAACACAGCTTCAGCACAACTCTGTGAATTTGTTCTAGCGTGTTTCTGTTTGTATGACTGCATGTTATTGAAACGACAGGCCCTTGGCAGCAAGCGTACACCCACACAGAGCCAAACACACACACACACACACACACACACACACACACACACACAAACAGTGTCCTCCACTAATATTGGCCATTTTTTCAAACATGAGGCTGTTAAAAATGTCTCCATTCTTTAATTTTTAGATATTTTGCTTAAAATATTAACAAAGAACTTTCATTGGGAACAAACAATTACAAAGACAACACAGTTTTGCCAAATATTCATTCATTAATTTTCCTTCAGCTTAGTCCCTTTTTTATTAGCTGTCACCTCACAGCAAGAAGGTTGCTGGTTCAAGTCCCGGTTGGGTCAGTTGGTATTTCTGTGTGGAATTTTCATGTTTTACCCATGTTCACATGGTTTTCTTTCGGGTGCTCCGGTTTTCCCCACAGTCCAAAGACATGCGCTATAGGTGAATTAAATAAACAAAATTGGCCGTAGTGTGAATGTGAGTGTATAGATGCTTCCCAGTACTGGGTTGCAGCTGGAAGGGCGTGCATAAAACATGCACTGTAAAAAATCCATCTTGAAAAAAAGTTCAAATTCTTTGTTTTTATTTTGTTGGTTTGGCAAAAATCAGTAAAAATGTCTGTGAAACTACATTTAATATGTTTAACCTAAATAAATATTTTCTTTATTAAGATAAATGATTAATTTTGTAAGCAAAACTCTGCAAGTTCACCAAAAAAGCTTCTGCCACACTTAAAAAAATAAAGGTTGCAGTATTTCCAACCCTAACAACGATGACAAAAATAGTAGTAACACCAATAATAACATTAACGTCATTATTTTTAACAACAACAAAATCCTACTGCAATAATGCTAACGTAATCTGAAATTATTACTCATTTGTAATTTATCTCACAGCTGCAGAAAGACTTTTAATGTGAAGCTTCATCTCACATTTACCTAGTTCACTCTACAAAAAGAAACGCTTAGCGCATGTGGACTGTTAATTTGTATTTAACTGTTATGTATGCAGTTGAAGTCAGAATTATTAGCCCCCTTTGAATTGTTTTTTCTTTTTTAAATATTTCCTAAATGATGTTTAATAGAGCAAGAACATTTTCACGGTATGTCTGATAATGTTTTTTCTTTTGGAGAAAGTCTTATTTGTTTTATTTCAGCTAGAATAAAAGCAACTCTTAATTTTTAAAAAGCCATTTTAAGGTCAAAATTATTAGCCCCATTAAGCAATTTTTTTTTCGATAGTCTACAAAACAAACCCCTGTTATACAATCACTTGCCTAATTACCCTAACCTGCCTAGTTACCCTAATTAACCCGGTTAAGCCTTAAATGTCACTTTAAATTGCATAGTAGTGTCTTGAAAAATATTTAGTAAAATATTATTTACTGTCGTCATGGCAAAGATAAAATAAATCAGTTATTAAGGATGAGTTATTAAAACTATTATGTTTATAAATGTGTTGAAAGAATCTTCGCTCAATTAAACAGAAATTGGGGAAAATATACACAGGGGGGTTAATAATTCTGACTTCAACTCTATATATGGGGTTGCAGCTGGAAGGGCATACGCTGCGTAAAACAAATGCTGGATAAGTTGGCGGTTCATTCCACTGTGGCGACTCCAGATTAATAAAGGGACTAAGCCGAAAAAAAAATTAATGAATGTATAAATATGGAAGTTTTTTCCTAACAAACAAACGTAAAATAAAAATTCAAATGCCTAAAAAGATCAAATAATGAATCGAACTTTCAAAACTACTACCCAAATGATAAATCAAACGCTTAAACAATCAAATAATAAATCAAAATGCATTCTCAAATGCGAAATCAAATCTATTTGATATTTATTTTTCATGAACTCAGTAAAATCCTTTTAATAACTAAATAACAAATCAAATGCTCAAACTATAAAGCTGCGATCACACTAGACTTTTCTCCCCATAGACTTCCATTCATACACACATGAAGAGGCAAGCTTGTGCGACAAGTTTCACGGTTCGCTTCGTTGGAAAAAAGTTCCAGCTTAGTGAACTCTGACCTGTGAAATCGTGTATGAATGCATGAGACCAATTAAAGATCAAAACATGACTTCTCTGGACAGAAATTTAAAACATGGACAAATCGCTCGCTTTTTTAAATGTCTAATCATCTTGTTTAATCCCGCCCATTTTCGCAGAGCTGTCTGACAGAATTTCACTTGCACAAACTCTAATGTGACAGCAGCATAATTCAAATGGAGGAACCAGTTTCTGATTACACACACAGACCTGGAAGCTCATGCTGGCTTAATTACTAGGATTATAAAGATACCTCACTCACACAGACTCTTTGCTGAGTCTTGTTTTCCCGAAACAATACAAAGTTTGTCCTGCCATGTTTTGATCCATGTCTTGTTTACCATTATTGTTGTTTTGCCTCCCATCCTGTTTTTAATTCTATGTTTTGTTAACATTTGTCTCTGTTTTAGTTTTTTTTTTTTCAATTGAGCGATGTTAGAGTGATACATCTAATAATATATTATTTCTTAGTACAAATTTCCAAAAGAAAGTTTTTTTGTTCACTCTACCTCAGACATTTTAGGTCAGTCCAGCTAATGTTTTCAAAAGTCGAGTGCATGAGAAAAGGCGAAAGGAAATAAGCATTATGAGGTTGTTTTTGTTGTGGCTTAATTTTTTACAGTGTGTCAGAATAGTTGGTGGTTCATTCTGCTGTGGCGACGCCTTGTAAATAAGGGACTAAGCCAAAGAAAAATGAATGAATGAATAAATAAATGAATGAATAAATAAAAAATGAAAGTAAATAAAAAATAAAAGAGTAAATTAAACTTTTATAACTTTAATTACTGTAACATTAGTCAATTTAATTCAAACTAAATGTTCACAAATGCCATAAATAATATGATTTACATGTTACCACATGAATGACATTTATGTTACATCATAGCTGAAACATCTGTGAGAATACAGACACATCATACACTGACGAAAGAAGGATTTGACACACACACACCTGGTTTGTAGTTTGGCAGATCACTGACACCTGGCCAGATCTCCTCAGTCGGGACACCAATGACCTCAGAAGGAAAGATGGATAACACGACGAGATGAGTATAATTTTGTTAATAGAAGAGAAAATTCACATAATTATACAAACAGACTCACTGTCCAAATCTTCAGCAGCTGCTCAAAGACATCAGCGACTCCAGGAAACGCTGGTGACCCCTGTAGCATCTCTATGAAAATGCAGCCAGCTCCCCTGAAAATTAACGCACTCAAAATATTATTTCTGCTGCTTCTTCAAACTGCTTATTTATTTACTTATTTAATATTATTTTTTTATTTAAAATTATTATTATTATTATTAATTATTAATTATTATTTTAAAAAAATTCAGAACAATTTAATTGTTTTATGTTCAATCCACTAAAATTTGCAAAATAAATAAAGTTAACGTAATCGATTTGGGTTGGGACAACATGAAGGAATTGTGTGGAACCCAGCATTGTGTCCACATCAGAATATAGATTCAAAAGTGATTTGTGTATAGCGAAATAATATTAATTGCAAGTAAAGTCTCTGCTTTAATGTTTCAAAACATTTGTCAATATGTCAAATTATGCGTGAAATTATGTTCAGTCCTAAATACTTTATACCTGACAAAAGTCTTGTCGCCTATCCAAGTCTTGGAACCACAAATAATTGACTTGTCATTTAGTTGATCATTTGGTATGAAAAGTGACTCATATGAAAGGCATCCTGACCTTCTTTGCTTTCAGGAACTTTAATGTAGAGGCTGAAGTATGAGAAGGAGCACTCTCCTGCTGAAGAATCTGCCCTCTCCTGTGGTTTGTAATGTAATGGGCAGCACAAATGTCTTGATACCTCAGGCTGTTGATGCTGCCAACCACTCTGCAGATCTCTCGCACGCCCCCATACTGAATGTAACCCTAAACCATGATTTTTCCTTCACCAAACTTGACAGATTTCTGTGAGTATCTTGGCTTCATGTTGGTTCCAATAGTATTTCTGCAGTATTTGTGATGATTGGGATGCAGTTCGACACATGATTCATTAGAAAAATCGACCTTCTGCCACTTTTCCAAATGATCAACTACAAGTCAAGTTATTATTTGTTGCTCTTACAACTCGGATCGACGACAAGACTTTTGTCAGGTAGTGTATATGTCTTTTAATATACTTGTTATTTTTTATTATGCTTTTTAAACCTGAAAAATCCCACATCAAAATATGCTACAGTGAATTAAAGTAAATACTATAGTTTTAGGAACCACACTACACTCTCAGAAAAAAAGGTACACGGTGGTACAAATAATGTTTCTTGAGGAACAGTTTTGTACCTTTGTAAAGATTGTACTTTATATGGTACAGAAAAGATCTCTTGTGATACTGTTTTCTACCTTTTATGTTTCAACTGAAATGGAGGTACACAATTGTTCCAATATAAGAGGTACAAAAGTGTGATTGGAAAGGCAAAGTGATTTTATGAATAATTTCTAGAAGAAAGAAACGTAAATACATTAGTTATTAAGTTCTATAATACAATAGACAACTGGTAAAACATAAAACTATAGGTATTGTTAACTAAACATAAAGGCATTTTAAATAAATGTTTGGTAAGCATTTTGACACTGTTAAGTTACAAAGTGTCTTGTCAGTGTGGTGGTACCTTTATGGATCAGATTTGTACCTTTAATGAAGGCACAATATTGTATCTGTAGGTTTTGAAAACCAAAGGTACATTTCTGTTTCCCAGGGACACAATCATATCCTTGAAGCTACAAACTGCAATGTTGCAAATTTGTTTCTTTGTCTTAAGGTACAATTCTGTCCCATACAAAGTTATTGCCCCAGTGACAAGGGTTTGTACCTTCTTTGGTACATTCATTCATTCATTCATTCATTCATTCATTCATTCATTCATTCATTTTTTTGTTGGCTTAGTCCCTTTATTAATCCGGGGTCATCACAGCTGAGTGAACCGCCAACTTATCCAGCAAGTTTTTATGCAGTGGATACCCTTCCAGCCGCAACCCATCTCTGGGAGAGATCCACACACACACACACACACTCATACTACAGACAATTTAGCCTACCCAATTCACCTGTACCGCATGTCTTTGGACTGTGGGGGAAACTGGAGCACCCGGAGGAAACCCACGCGAATGCAGGGAGAACATGCAAACTCCACACAGAAACTCCAACTGAGCCGAGGCTCGAACCATCGACCCAGCGACCTTCTTGCTACCCACTGCATCGCCTTCTTTGGTACAACATTGTACAATTTTTTCTGAGAGTGTATAGTAACGTACTTTAATTAATCTGCTGTGGTTAGTCTATAGTTGCTATAGTATTAAAGCAACTATAGAAATGTAAACACATTACCCAATAGTGTACTAAGATTTATAGAACCACACACACATACACACACACTACACACACACTACACAACAATAAAAACATTTACTGTAGTAAAAGTAAAGTATACCACAGTATTTATTATACATATATATATATATATATATATATATATATATATATATATATATATATATATATATATATATATATATATATATATATCAGATCAAAATAGGTATTATCAAACTTATGATATATTAAAAAATAAATACCCCAACAAACTGTCAGGACTTTCAGAACAATTCAGAACAACCACTGCATGCCACTAATCCTGTATTACTGTTAATCTCACTGTTATGAGCCTAACTAAAATAACGGTGTGTGTGTGTGTGTGTGTGTGTGTGTGTGTGTGTGTACAAGGACTCACCAGATGTCCAGGGCTGTGGAGTAATCTGTGGAGCCCATGAGAACATCTGGTGGACGGTACCATAAAGTCACCACCTCAGCAGAGTACGTTTGACATGGTATGGACTTCGATCGAGCCAGTCCTGGAGGAACAAAAGGCGCACCATAGCTTAATATCACATTAATGTTAACACATTCATTCCTTATTAAGTGTGTGAGCGTTCCCAGCATTTTTTTCTGTTCAAAAGAAGTCTAAAAGGCATCTAAACATAGAAGTCTAGACTGAAACAGGGCTAAATTTGGGTTGTCCGTGAAAATCTAGTAGATGTCTAACAATAGTCCAAAAATAGGCTTGTCATCAAATACACAGATATGAATGACTACACATGTGAAGTGTGTCTAATCTGTGTGTTTGATGACTAGTCCAGTTTTGATCTATTGTTAGACATCTACTAGATTTTCACTGACAGCCCAAATTTAGCCTTGTTTTAGCAAATATTTCTGTCTGGACATCTTTTAGACGTCTTTTAAACACCATTTTTAATGGGATTGCATGTGCATAGCTTAAAGGAACACTCAAACTTTTTTTTTTTTTTTTTTTTTGCAAAATGAGGCACTTTTAGCTTAGTTTAGCATAGATCATTGAACTGGATTAGACCATTAACATCTCGCTCAGAAAATTAAAAAGTAAAAAGTTTTGATAGTTTTCCTATTCAAAGCTTGACTAATGTGTAATTACACTGTGTGCCAAGACAGATAAAAATGAAAAGTTGCTATGGTCAATATGGCTAGGAACTATACTCTCATTCTGGGGTGCGTTTCCCAAACAATGACGTAACTCGCGGCTGAACTATCATAGTACAATGCTTCATTTGGGAAAATAACTATGTAGTGACGAGTGTTTCCTAAAACCTGTAGTTTCTCTGTCGCAGAGCCATCGCTTGAACCACGTTAGTTAAGACGTAAAACTCCCATAATGATGCTCTAAACGGGGTAGAGTAACTACTTCTTTAGAGAAAAACCCATAATTTCTTTGTGCAAATGATATTGTTTTACACGCAAACGCATTAAAAATAAAATCCAATATTAGATTTGGTAAAAACATGCAGTCGTTTTCCATATTAACAGAAATATATGTAAATGGCACAGATAGGGCATATGTTTGCTTTACTAAAATTATTGAGAAGTTGAACATTACATAAGCTATTCTAAAACATATCACTTACAAAAGCTAACAAGTATTCTTATATCATTTAAATAAATAAATAATGAGGCTATTTATTATAAAATATAATTTATTATTTATTAGAAATGAAAAAAACATACTTTAATAATAAAATTAATGATGATGATGATTATTATTATTATTATTGAGTATTATATAAAACTTTTTGAAAAGTCTATTTTTACAGTTTGACACATGTAAACCACTGCAGAAATGACCTAATCAGCAGGCCCATGTTCGCTAAAACTGAACTGTAAAAATAGTTTGAAATAAAATTACACCTAAGAGAGATGACCTTAATGCTTTTTTGTTTTGAATAATTCCAACTTTGAATCTTAGAATGTTCTAAATGAATAGGGCATGGGGGGGATTAGTAGGAATAGAACACAGCCAGGCACTATGTTTCTAACTACAGCTCCAGAGCTGTAGTAGCGAGTGCTCAAGTTTGCGACGCAGTTTGCAAATGTTCGTTGGAGCGACAGATTTTGGAAACGGCAAATCAACTAACTATGTTTGGCTAGCTAACTAGCCAACAGCACTGCAACTTTACCATTTTCTTTGCACATGCTGAAACTAAAAAATAATCAAGCTTCAAATATCAAAATGAGCAATTTTTTGAGCAACATGCTAATGGTCTAATCCAATTTAGTGATTTGTGATAAGCTAAGCTAAAAGTGCTTCCGCCAGAGCCCAAGATAGTTTGGAAACCCTTTTAGCCGCAACTCAGTACTCAGTACACTACGGCCAATTGTGTTTACCCAATTCACCTATAGCACGTCTATGCACTGTGGAGGAACCCAGAGGAAATCCACATGAACACAGGGAGAACATGCAAGCTCTACACAGAATTTCCAACTGACCCAGCTGGGACTTGAACCAACAATCTTCTTGCTGTGAGGCGACAGTGCTAACCACTGAGCCACCATGTGCCCATAGTGCATTTTCTAAAATCATATTTTTTAAAAAGTGGACTGTTCCTTTAAGCTATGCACATGCAAACATATTTAAAAAACGTTTTTAAAAGATGTCTAATAGATGTCCAAACATATAGATATTTGTTAAAGCAAGACTAAACTTGAGATGCTAATAGTCTAATCTGATTCAATGATTTATGCTAAGCTAAGCTAAAAGTGCTCCATTTAGACCCCAAAATCAGATTAATGGATTAAAAAATAGTAAAACTCAACTTTTTAATTCCAGGGGGATGTAAAATGAGCCTATTTCTAAAAGATTTGCAGTGCCCCTTTAAGCAAAACCTACCAAAATCAGCTAGTTTGAGTTCTCCCAGATAGCTGATGAGCAAATTCTGAGGTTTGAGGTCTCGGTGCAGAATCCTTCTGCCGTGAATGTAAGACAATCCTCGCAGCAGCTGAAACATGAAGAGCTGAAGAAACAACAGAGTGACTGTGGAAAACCTTGCATATTTTGTCAGATTTACATTTTTTTTGTGTGACTCTGCGTGTTTGTTTACCCTGATGTTATAGGAGTGAAGTCCACCAGGATGCTGAATCATATACTGAGCCAAATCTGTTTGCTGAGAGACAGAAAAAAGCAAAATATGACTGACAGATTGACAAAATATGCTGAAAGGTGACTTTCTTGTGTCTTAGACTCACCACATACTCGAAGACAAAGGTGAGGGACTCTCTCGTGTGGATGATGTCATGAAGCAAGACTATGTTGGCATGTTTAAGGCCTTTTAACAAGGAGGCTGTGGATGAAGACAGATAACACAGGCACAGAGCATCAACAACTGCACAATGCAGTGGAGCACTTTGGTTGTCACTTTGGTTGTCCTCTACAAATAGAAAATTGTCGTAAACACTACATTTTGAACACAAAACAGCATCTAGTAGACATCTAATTTTAGTCAAAACATAGACTAGTCACACATTAGAAGTGTGTCTAATCTGTGTATTCGATGACTAGTCTAGTTTTGGACTATTGTTAGACATCTATAGATTTTCACTAACAATTTAGCCTTGTTTTAGCAAATATCTTTGTTTGGACATCTATTAGACGTCTTTTAAACACAAATTTTTTTAATGGGTTTGCATATTCATAGTTTAAAGGAACTTTTTTGGAAATTTGAATTGAGAAAATGTACCATTTTTGAATACATTTAGCCTATCTCTAGGTCCGATGTGAGCACTTTTAGCTTAGCTTAGCATAGATCATTGAATCGAATAAGACCATTAGCATCTCGCTCAAAAATTTCTAAACAAAAATTGTTCTTTTTAAAGCCTTACTATTGTATAGTTACATTGTGTGCTAAGACAGATGGAATTGAAAACTATAGTCAATACGACTACAACACTATACTCTCATTCTGGCTAGCTAACAGTGCTGCAGCTTTTCATTAACCATTATCTTAGTACAGTAGTAGCTTAGCATAGATCATTGAAATAAAATAGACCATTAGACCACTTTGCTTGTACTCTACCAATAAGAAATTGTAACAAACACTACATTTTGAGTACAAAATTGAGAAAATGTACCATTTTCGAATACATTTAGCCTATCTCTAGGTCTGATGTGAGCACTGTTAGCTTAGCTTAGCATAGATCACTGAATCAAATTAGACCATTAGCATCTCGCTCAAAAATTTCACGACAAAATGACTAGTCTATGACTAGACTAATGACTAGTCTAGTTCCTAAGCCGCTCTGCTTACAATCACCAATCAATAACAATTATACTCTCACATAACGTCATTAACTGCATCATACATATAGGTGTTCTAACCTTGTTCATTTTAAAGCTTGACTATTGTGTAGTTATATTGTGTTCTAAGACAGATGGAAAATAAACATTTGCTATAGTCAATATGACTAGGAACTATACTCTTATTCTGGCTAGCTAATAGCGCTGCGGCTATTCATTTACCATTGTCTTAGTACAGTAGTAGCTTAGCATAGATCATTGAAATGAATAGACCATTAGACAAATTTGGTTGTTCTCTACAAATAGGAGTTTGTCATAAACACTACATTTTGAACACAAAACAGCATCTAGTGGTTAGGTATGTTTTGAAGCATGCCTGCTGGTTTGTGCTGTTTAAAGCTTTTCATATGCTGTTCCCAAACAGGAACCAGCAATGCTTCAAAACATATCTAACTAGTATATGCAGTTTTTCAATAAAAAGTTGAAATCAGCAAGATATTTAAAACTTCTATTCAACAATGTTGTTTGATAATATAAAATAGCAATATTATGAAATATTGATGAAATTTATAGCTATTAATGGTATTTATATGGTATAGATTAATGGTATTTATAACTATTTTCAATTAAATATACAAATACAAAACAAAACATAAAACTTCAGTTATCATCAGTTTTCTTGATTTAGATTATATGCAGTTCTTGTGGAAAATCTAGATCTGTGCATTCTGGCACATCTTACCCCATAGTGCCCTGAGTGTGAATAAGCGCTTCTCTTTCTTGCTGGTGTGTGATGTTTTCATACCTTCTCTGATAGCTGTGAATGGAATTCCCTCTTCAGTTTTCATGTGAATCACCTTTAAAGCCACAAGATGACCATTTATCCTGTCCGAAACACAGAACAAAACTCAACATAATCCACACACATTGTACCTGTACTTACTATAGCAGAATATACAAACCATCACAAGTCCTCTCTTTTACAGACCTAAAAATTATCCTGTTTGACTAATTTAACTCGTAGAAGATACACATTTAACATTAAAAGTGTCCCTATATTTTGCTATTTTAAAGGTTTTAACTTTTTGTTGGTTGTGATGGTCAAAAAAAGGCCTCAATTTATTCACAGTATAATATATTCACTAGCCTCTCTAAAACCCTCCTTATCAAGATTCTATTCTGCTCTGATTGGCCAGATGGAGCAGTTTGTTGTTATTTGCTCTTTTTCTTTTCCTTTTGTAAAACAGGGTGGCACGGTGGCTCAGTGGTAAGCACTGTCACCTCACAGCAGGTTGCAAGGTTCAAGTCCCAGTTAGGCCAGTTGGCATTTCTGTGTGGAGTTTGCATGTTCTCCCCGTGTTGGCGTGGGTTTCATAGTAGGTTGTAGGCTTCTAGGCAACCATCAACCATTTTCCCAGAGGAATGAGGATGACAAGCTGACAAAACTTTGCTGTGACTGTGATACAAATTTTATCTGTCGAAAAATTAACAAAGCACTGCAGTCACTTTCGGTCTTACCAAAATATGAATATTCCATACAAGCTGAAGCTGATCAGTCAATTCAACTTGCGGTGAGCTGGATAAAATGAACTAAGGCAACATGATCATTCTCTTAATTGTCCACTGCTAAGAAATGTTTAAAATATGACGTGACCTCCCACAAAGCCCGCTGAGGCCCCCTTGTGGACAACGACCCCCCTGTTGGGAACCACTGCTATAGATGAGTTGAGTAAACTAAATTGGCTGTAGTGTATGTGTGTGAATGAGAGTGTATTAGTGTTTCCCAGTAATGGGTTGTGGCTGGGGAGGCATCTGCACTTAAAACATATGCTGTAATAGTTGGTGGTTCATTCACCTGTGGTGACCCCTGATAAATAAGGGACTAAGCTGAAAGAAATTGAATTTTGCAAAACAGAATTCCTGACATGTCAACAACATGAACCAAACTAGAAATCTGTTACAAATACACTGTTTAAGGGTTCTTTGATGGCCTCATAAACTGGAATTATACAATTAATTATAGGTTTGTGCAGGAAGTTTGCTGTTATTTGCTCTAAGACTGGAATTACCAGTGATTAACTTTAGGCAGTTCAGCATCAGTTTCTTTTTTGAGAAAAGGCGCCATTTAATCATAAACTTTTATTTTCAAACTTTTATCTTAACTTTGCTGAATTTTTACATTCACAAACAGCTATATTACATTTTTTATGATAGGCAATATCTAAAAACACACAAGATGAGCCTTTTAAAGTCTTTCTCTTATATTTATTCTATATTCTTTTATTTATTCTGCTTGTTTCTTCTATTTTATTGACTTATTTACCTAACATCTGGTTAAATGTTAAAACAACGTACCAATATCTACTTCCGGATTCAATAGGAATAGTTCTGAAAACCATTTCATGAGGTCTTTAAAAATGTCTTTTTATCATATGAGTCCTCTGATTGACTGCGGTGTGTCGTAGTGATCTGTGATAGTATTCTGACGAACAGATTTCCAGTTGTTGGGTTTATGTGATGTTGGAAAAACAATTAAAATAGCTAAAGTAATATTCCTGTATTGTAAGCACATTAAATCATAATAAATGTAAAGTGCTTCGTCAAATAGAGGCACATAAATGCACGCCTGTTTCTCATTAAAAAGTTTGTGTTGTTTCACAATTTCAAACTGAAGGCCTCAGGTGGATATCCATACACTTGCAGTATGACCTTATAAAATGAATCCATGTAAAACAAGCTGCCAAAAGAAAAAACTGCCCACAGGGAGGCAATGAAAAGAATCATTTGCTGTCTATTATACAGAAGAACAAAGCCATGGGGTGTATCTGAATAATGTGCTTGCGAACTGAATATACTGCCATAAAGGTAAAACATCCATCTTGCCTCAGTGAATAATTGTATCCCCACTGGCAACATCTAAAGGAGCTCTATTAATTACACTGTTTGGGGAAGTTTTGAGTGCATTTTGCCATACGACTTTTTTTACCAACCTGCTGATTCCTTTGTAAACTGTGGCATATGTGCCCTCTCCGAGTTTTTCCAGATTCAGATAAGATGTTGCGTTCCCAAATTGTAGGCCAGTTTTCTGTGAATGAAACGGACACAGCCAAGCAACTGAAGTTAAAAGACAAGGCTTTTATTATGTACAGTATATGTCAAAATTTATTATGGACATTGTGATATTTTATCTTTCTGCGATAAACAATGTGAAATAAATATAATTCTTCAAAATCACTTATCCTAACCCAGGCTTATTCTGAAAATGTACCACTATATACATTTCTGGAGAGCACCAAATACGTTTCAGGAGCTACGTTTTTTTTTTTTTTGCAGTTTTTATTTTTGCCACAAGAGGCCGTGTATGTGTCTGCTTTTCAAGATCTCAAATTTTTCTCGCAAGTGCCATTCTCATCTGTTGTTCTTGTGTAAATCCAACAGATGCTTCCCTAAACCCAACTAATAGTGTTTTCAAAAGCACTGATTGACCTAAACAACCCACTACCCTAAACCTAACCAACAGTTTTAAAAAACAATCCAGAAAAAGAAACCTCACCCTGTTTATTTTATTTTTTTGGCTTCTGTTTTCATCTTATCTGCTTTCTGGAACCGTTCTTAACCAGTCTCGAACCTCGTCTTCCTGGTCAACTCCTCTCTGCATCTCAAGCCCACCGACGTACATGGCGAGCAACTGGTAACAGCGGGAAAGCCGTCCATACGGGGGTAAATGTAAAAATCCATTAACCTGCATTCCTCCTCCTAACCAGAAGGAGGTGCTCCAGACTTTTTCACACACCAGTATCCAATTTCTATGCTTCCTCCAGAACAGTTGATGGCAGCACTTTCACGCCATCTGCTGTGTGCCACCGCTCAAGCTATATTAGCAACACCTGTCTTTTGCCCTATAAAAGTGTGTGTATTACAAGCTAGTGTGTTCAGTCTTGAGTCATTACTGCTCGGTGTTCTTCTGATTGAGAAGCTAAGTTACGCTTTACTGTTGTATTTTTTGACCCTTGTGTCTGATTTGTTTTGCCTGTTTACTAAAAGCTCGGCTTCAGTCATTTCTGTTGTACTTTGTATTCCATTTTTCAAGTAAAGATCATTTGCTTATTTTTTTAACTACATTTTAAACTACAGCCTCAAGCTCCAGCTTTGAGTCCAAGAGACCCGGGTTTAATCCTCACCTTACCCACACGTTACAGTAAGCGGTCAGTTGGTAAGCGCGAAAAGGAACAGCATCATACCGCCCCGAGTGTTCATTTTAAAGATTCTGGCTACATAATTCGCGATCTCCAGAAATGTATATAGGGCTAAGTTTTCCAAATGAGCTATGTTGGACTTATCCCAGCAGGCACAGGATGTCAACTTTGATGTCAGATTAACGTTGTACCCCAACTTTGTGGGACCTTGCATTTTAGATGGAAATGAAAATTAGAACCCAAAATCAGACCAACGTACGTTGTATTTTGGTCACTTTCCAATACAACCTAAAAACAACCAAATATCAACATCTAATGATCTTACAGCTTGACGTTATGGGGACGTTAACGCTATGATGTCTATCAGATGCTAGATTTAGCCATACTTGGCGAATAAATGTCAGTATTTCATGTCAATAGAATGTTGGATTAAGATGTTGGACTAATAAGAACACAACCTTAAATCAACCAAATATCAACGTCATTGGATGTCGTTACTGGACATCAAAATAACACTGTTCTTAAACACTGCCCAGACATTGAATTTTTGTCACCCAACATCACAACCTAAATCTTACCTAATAATAACATCTTAAGACAGTGTGTGCCTGCTGGGATAACTTTGTTTGGAAAGAGTTCCCAATTTTACATTGATCGTGATGATTTTGAAGGGGACTAAATCTGTATAAAAATAAGAAACTTATATAAACCAAAATTGCCAGTACTACAGTAAATTTTACAGTGTGTGCATGGGTGTGTTTGTCTCTGTGGAGATGCTGAAATCAGTACTCACCCACTGAAACTCTTGCTGGAAGCTCTTTCCTCCCATTGGATCGCTGTTACTGCGGCCTCTCTGAACTCTGAGCCGCCGCACCTGCAGTGTGTGAAACCAGTGCGGCTGTGGTTTCTCCACCCCGTCCAGCTCACCCAGCTGAAATCAGACACAGGCACGGTTTGATCTATGTCAGATACTGCGTGGGATGTTATTACATCTTGTTTCGCTGATTTAGGCATCTTACTGTATCTATCACAGCTGTCTGTTTCACACTCATGTGCAATTGTGGCTTCATGTTTTTTAGTTACACCAGTTAAGAGCTTCTATTTATCACAGTTCCCACAATGTTCATAATATTGTATTTATAAAACAGAATACAAATATTCTTCTCAGCAAATCGGCATATTACAGTACATCGAAGCCTGAGGTAATGATGCTTAAAATTCAGTTTGGCAGTCACTAGAACTTTAAAAAAGAAAACATTTTACATGTAAAATATTATATCACAATATTTCTGTGACCAAATTTTACTATGATCAAGTAAACTATTTAATAACTTTTAAACATGAATGTGAAGTGTATGTGTGTACAGCGGAGATTAAAGTACAGAACAATTTGCTAAATTTTGAGGTCATTGTTTAGTCCTATTTTAAGTTATGTTAAGAAGACTAAAACAGCTATTTTTAAACATAATTCAGTTACATAGACTCAAAAACTGTCCTTTGCTGCTTGTTCAAACTACTTAATTAAAATACCTTAAATTCTTATGTTTTTTGGAGGGACAAATTCATTATTGTTTGTTCAATTACATACATTTTTATAAAAAAAACATTTAAGTTAACCTTAAAAAAGATTTGTGTTGGGACAACATGAAGAAATTGTGTGGAACCCAGCATGTTTTACAGTGTATAATCTGAAACTTACAAGGATAGTTCACCCATCATTTAATGTTGGAAAACCAGTAACAATTGACTTCTATGGTATTTGTTTTTTCCTATTATAGATGTCAGCTTTCTTCAAAATATAACGTGTCAGCCAAGAAAGCCCCACAACATCCAGAGACCTAAGTTGGAAAATTGGAGTGTTCCTAAGAGAATTTGGACTCAAAGGCCTGTATTGACCAAACCTCTCATCAGAATAAAGAGTCAAAATGCCAGACTAACTTTTACTGAGAAGCATGATCTGTGGACAAGACTCACAAATCTTTGATTTTCTTTGTTTTACAAAGCTGTAATGTTTTCCCTGACATGAAGGATTAGCACCTTTTTTATTATTCAAATGGCTGTAACTGGATGCACTTCTTCCTCGGCGGACTGTTATACTGTAATGCTGTAGTTTCAGAAAAATGTGATAAATATAGACAACTGGAAAAATGCAAATATTAATATGACCGTGAAACAGTGAAGTGCTGTACTGCTCAGCTAAAATGAAAGGTAAAGGAAGGACAACACAGTGGCTCAGTGGTTAGCACAGTCGCCTCACAGCAAGAAGGTCACTGGTTTGAGTCCCAGCTCGGAAAGTTGGTATGTGTGGAGTTTGCATGTTCTCCCGGTCTTTGTGTGGTTTTCCTCCGGGAGCTCCTGTTTCCCCCACAATCCAAAGACATGTGCTATAGGTAAATTGGATGAACTAACTTGGCCGTAGTGTGTAAGTGAATGTGAGAGTGAATGAGTGTTTCCCAGTATACTGAATATCCTGGAATAGTTGGTGGTTCATTCCGCTGTGGCGACCCCTGATAAATCAGGGACTAAGCTGTAGAAAAATGAATGGATGAAATTGTAAAGAATATGATTCTAGAATGTCCCAACAGGGTGTCCATTTTCCTATTTCTTCCTCTAAATTCAGTTTGTTTGATTCAGTGATTCCCCAGAGATGGGTTGCGGCTGGAAGGGCATCTGCTGCGTAAAAACGTGCGGTTCATTCCGCTGTGGCGACCCCGGATTAATAAAGGGACTAAGCCGACAAGAAAATTAATGAATGATTCAGTGATTTTATTGCGAACGTGAACAAATGACACTCTCAAAACTGAGCTTTAGTTGTACAGAACGTGCTTATTCAGAGAAATATTCAGATCATCTGGAATTAAATGTTTGTACAGTAGAGTTCTCTTTAATCAAATCCATTCCTTTTGACACCACATTTGCTTGACAAATAGTGTGTGTCCCCCCCCCAAAAAAAACAAGTAAAAAAGCTGGAAAGCAACACCTAAATAGATTAACCATTTAAGATCAGATCAAATCAGAGATTGCGTTATAATAAAGTATAGATTAGTACTAGATTAGTGACATTTTTATTAAATAGGTATAAATGCAAGTCTTATTGAAATCAAAAAGACAAGACAATGTCACATGGTTGACAACTAGCACACATCCACACACACACACATCTGACCTCAGCATCAGGTAGGGAGGACATGCTCCAAGTTTTTGATGGTTTTTCTTCCATTTTCGCCACATCTTTCAATTCTTCTACTCTCATCTCGAACATTTCCTCCTTTACTTCCCTTCCGACTTCATTCGTTTTATCTCCACAACACCAACAACATCTCCTCAAGCACACAGACGCCCAGAACCGAGTTCTCCAAAAGAAATCCTCCATCTCCAAAATCTTCTCTCACTCTCTCTATCTCTGATTAAGCTCTATAACTCATGACTTGCATGGGAAAGTGTGTGTGTGGTTGTGTGTGTGAGTGTGTGTGTGTGTGTCTGCAGGCCTGGTCTTATGACTCCATCTCCCATCCATGAGAGGCAAACACAAACAGCCATGTTATATTTGTTGAGGGGAACAAATGCGTCTATTCAACCGCCGGAGGGAAAAGCACGATGGGATGGACAGTGAAAATGGTGACTGTGACAGAGATTATAGCTAAATATAAGAAGGAAAGTGTAAAAGTGAACTTATAGCATGCAGTGGCAGCTATACGGCAGCATTCAGACTGTATAAAGGCATTTCTCATCAGATTGAGGTGAACTGGAGCGCAGTATATTCTGTAAACACACTATTTCAGCCAAGGGCATAGATTTGGTATGGGCATAGGGGATGTGTCCCACCAATATCCAGCAAATACTGAAATGTCAACACCTATAATTTAATCACCTTCAAAACAAAATAATGCTCCATCAACCCTTAGTAACCTAGACATGCAGAAAGGGTTAAATAATGTTCTCTTCTCAGGTCCTCCTCCCTCTATTCAAAAAACATAAGGTGTGGAAAGATGAGATACCTCTTACAATTGTTTTTTCAATTGCCACTAGGGGGCGCTGCTCCGACTTGCTCCGACTTGCCCTTCCAAGCCAAATGAACCACTGTTAAAAAGGACAGTGTTATTGCAAAGAGCTTAGAATGACCAAGAGGCAACACTCAATATACAACCCCACCATTTTGGAGTGAAAGCAACAGGCTGTCCATTGGATCTTATTGCTGTCGCGATAACAAGCAGCTGCTTTGTTTTTGTTTTCATTTATTTATTTAAAAAGCACATTAAAGCTGAGATACAACCTGAAAGACGACTTTTAATCAGCACTTTTAATAGTTTATTTTACAGCCTTATAATATGCTGTTGTTCTATTGGAGTCTTCATTTCAAGATGGCCGCTTTGCCATCTAGTGGCTGTTTGCCAAATTGCACTAGAGTGTTGCCTCTCAGTGATTCTACGCTCTTTGGTTATTGGCTGGGCCTATTTATGCTGTTAATGACAGATTGTGGGAAGCTGTTAATGACAGATTGTGGGAAGCGTCAACACAAGAGATTTTCCCAGTACTCCTTCACTGTACAAGATGCGGACATAAGTACTTTTCAAAGAGTCAAGTTTTTAAAGTCAAGTTCAATTGGAGTCCAGCATAATAATATACCAAGGCTGTGCAATCATTTGGTATCAGAAGTGACTAATATGAAAGGCAAAGGCCTCTAGATTAAGCTTATTTTACCAAATTAAAATATGATCATGGCTTGAGTTATGTAATTAGGACAGTAAGATCTGACTTTGCTTACACAAAATTTTTGTCTCTTAACAGAAATAATGTACAGTATAGAATATAAAGTCATGGTGCAGTGGAAAAAGAATGAATCTTGTGTATGACTCCTATGATCTTGAAGGACTGCATCCATACAGTGTACATCTCTGCAATGACTTAAATAACTTATTAATAAAGTCATCTGGAATGGCAAAGAAAGCGTTTCTGCAGGACTCCCAGAATTCATCAAGATTCTTCAGGATCTTACATGCTCAATAATGTTCATGTCTGATGATTGGACTGGCCAATCCTGGAGCACCTTGACCTTCTTTGCTTTCAGAAACTTAGATGTGGAGGCTGAAGTATGAGAATAAGCGCTATCCTGCTGAAGAATTTGCCTTCTCCTGTGGTTTGTAATGTAATGGGCAGCACAAATGTCTTGATACCTCAGGCTGTTGATGTTGCTATTCACTCTGCAGATCTCTCGCACGCCCCCATACTGAATGTAACCCCAAACCATGACTTTTCCTTAACCAAACCTGACGGATTTCCATGAGAATCTTGGGTCCATGTGAGTTCCAGTAGTTCTTCTGCAGTATTTGTGATGGTTGGGATCCAGTTTAACAGATGAATTATCAGAAAAATCTGCCTTCTGCCACTTTACTATATGATCAACAAGAAATCAAGTTATTATTTGTTGCTCTTACAACTGGGATCGAAGACAAGACTTTTGTCAGGTAGTGTATACGCTGTGCCACTATTTCATAAGAGTTTATTATTATTATTATTATTATTATTATTATCATATAGTCTATTATATGCAATTATAATTGAATTGGTAATGTGAAATGTGTGGTAGTTTAACTTTGTTCCTGTAATGGCAAAACGAAAATTATTAGTCTTCAGTTACACGTGATCCTTCACATAAAGTGTTTATTTTGAATTACGCAACAGAAGACAAAAGAAAGGGCTTTAATTGCACATGGCCTAAACATGTATAAAAACCTGAGGAGGAGCATTTTATTTAGCATATAAATACTTTAGCTTTGTAAATTACACAGTATTTAACTGTAATATGAACAGAATTTTACTGTAGGGCAGTTATGCAGTATGTTACTTTATTTTAATGTCGCAATGTGAAAATTATTGTATTTTATACAGTAAAGATTTAAAATACTGTAAAAACTTATACTGTAACAAGATAAATGATGCTGTAAGTGTAATTAAAGTATTTTTGCTGTAATTGACTTACAGTAAGATACAGGGAATCTGAATTTTACTGTAGGGCAGTTATGCAGTATGATACTTATTTAAATGTTGTTAAAAATATATAATACTGTAAATACATATACAGCAAGATAAATGCTGCTGTAAATGTAAAAACAGTAGTTTTGCTGTAGTTGATTTACAGTAAGTTACTGGCGAACAGCTCCCTCTACAAAAAAATTGTTAACAGTGTATGAACAACTTGCATTTTAATAATTTATAAAATTTAAAAATTTTGAAAGCATTTTTAAATGGCTGAGAATCAACATGCATTTGTTCACTTTAGATAGATAGATAGATAGATAGATAGATAGATAGATAGATAGATAGATAGATAGATAGATAGAGAGACAGATAGACAGATAGATAGATAGATAGATAGATAGATAGATAGATAGATAGATAGATAGATAGATAGATAGATAGATAGATAGATAGATAGATAGATAGATAGATAGATATGAATCTGGTTTTTACTGTCATGCTGCTGGCTCTGCTGGAGTGTAATTGTTGAGTGAGAGAGTATGATGGATGTTTTCTCTTCTCTTTTATTGTCTTTGGTTTTCTGGACTCTGTGCCCAGATGGGACATGCTCAATTGAACCAGGAATGAGACATCAGTTACTGACAGGAGAACAGTGTATGCTGTCTTTTTCTCTAATAATAAACTAGCTTACACGTTTCGGAATTTTCTAAAGAGACTACTACAATACATTTTACAACATTATTGTGCAAAATCTTAAACAGTAACATGTTGCACTGTTGTTATGTTCATCAAAATACAGTTTTTGTGGATTAGTTAGTCTATCAGAACAAATATAGTAGGTTAATATGCATACTGTCTACAGTTATTAATATGTTTTCAATAAAATATTTTCTTTTTTAAATATTTCTCAAATGATGTTTAACAGAGCAAAAAAATTTTCACAGTATGTCTGATAATATTTTTTCTTCTGGAGAAAGATTTATATTTTTTATTTTGACTAGGATAAAAGCAGCTTTACATTTCTAATAAACCTTTTTAAGTTCAAAATGATTAAGCCCCCTTAAGCAATATGTTTTTCAATTGTCTACAAAACAAACCATCATTATACAATGGCTTGCCTAATTACCCTAACACACCTAGTTAAACTAACTAGTAAGGCTTTTAAAAGTCACTTTAAGCTGAATCCTAGTACCTATAAAATATCTAGGAAATTATTATGTACTGTCATCATAACAAAGATAAAAGAAATCAGTTATTAAATCTACTATGTTTAGAAATGTGTTGAAAAAAAAACTTCTTTCCGTTAAACAGAAATTGAAGAAAAAAATAAACGGGGGCTAATAATTTTCATTTCAACTGTATATACACACTATAAATAAAATTTTTGTAGTGGTCTCTTATTCTTTCCCCAATAGAGGGCAGTGCTGCACTTATTATCCTGTATTTCTTTCCTTCACCTCCAGCTGTCCTCTGTGGGTGGAGGGATATTTATTTGCGCACACAATGTGTCGTGAAATGTAAAGTTGAATTTTCTTACCTCCTCATAGCCCAGATGTCTTTGCTTTAGCCCTGAAAAACACACAGAAAAGATGATGTTCAGAAAGATGATCACAACACTGAAATTTCAAACACACCGTGTGATGATGATAAATGACTTTGAGTGTTTCTGACGTTTTTTTAATGATATTTATAGACAGCATCTGGTACAGTGAAAAGGGAATGTGTGTGGAATGCAAAGAATGTAAATATATGTCATGTATTTCAAATATATTTGAAGTCAGAATTTTTAGCCCTAATAAATTATTAGCGCCCCTGTTTATTTTTTTCCCCAATTTCTTTTTAACAGAGAGAAGATTTTCTCAACACATTTCTAAACATACAAGTTTTAATAACTCATTTCTAATAAAGGATTTTTTTTTAATCTTTGCCATGATGACAGTACATGATATTTGACTAGATATTTTTCAAGATACTTCTATACAGCTTAAAGTGACATTTAAAGGCTTAACTAGGTTAATTAGGTTATCTAGGCAGATTGGGGTAATTAGGCAAGTTATTGTATAACAATGGTTTGTTATGTAGACTATCGAAAAAAATATAGCTTAAAGGGGCTAATAATTTTGACCATAAAATGTTTTTTAAAAAATTAAAAACTAATTTTATTCTAGCCGTAATAAAACAAATAAGAAAAAATATCATTAGACAAACTGTGAAAATTTCTTTGCTCTGTTAATACATCATTTAGAAAATATTTAAAAAAGGAAAAAAATCGAAGGGGGGCTAATAATTCTGACTTTAACTCTATATATTAAATGTAACAAATTAACATTCTTAAATGTAATGCTGATAATCGTTCTCAAGTGTGCAATTATCTCAGATAAACTCACAGTACCTCACACTCAACATGAAGGTAATCGCTCGTGCAAATATGTCTAATCTGACAATCCATATAATTTGGAAATATTTAAATGTAATAAAATGGCAGAAAAACTAGCCTGACAGATGCTTATAGCGACAGCCCAATGCTGCAACTGCGAACCGTCAGCTTT